TATAATATTTTATTAATTGTTTTTCAATAATATATGAAATCGACATAACTACAGATAATTATTATTATTTTTTTTTTTATAAAGAAGTTGGCACTATTTATTTATTTATTTTAAGATTTAAAATTTTTATCATCGTCATAATATCTCTGCATCAATGGCAGATAAGGCACCATAATTTCAGAGACTTTTCTTGGTTCTGAAGCTCCAACATGTTGTGACATTCGGCCATAACACAGTGTTAATTATCACAACCACAGGAAGCTGAACAGGTTGATGGGACATTTTGATGATGTTTTTTTTAATGCCCTCGGTTGCTCTCGACCCTGATTGGATGGGAGAGGCTCTGGCATTTTAGAGGCATGTGTGACCTGTCCTTTAAATGGATGATCAATTCTCTAAGCATGTCTGACATTTGCTTATGCGCTGCTGTTTTCTGCTTGCATGTAATTATAGACAATATTGCAGAGGACAGAGCAGACAGGAAAAGCAGGGGATGGGCTGAGCTTGCCAAAATCATTATTAGAACAAACAAATCATCTAACAAAGTTTTCAAGTTCAGTCTGTTGATGCTCAAAAGGTTTTAACATAAACTTTAATATCTTCTATTTAACTGTTCTGGATAATGATATCTCATGCAAGCCAAGCCAGTGCATACAGAGATAGAGAATAGACCCAGGGTTTTCAACCTTATTACTTCTATTTTTTTCTTTCGTTTGTTCATTCTTTCGTTCTTTCTGTCATTTGTTTGTTGGGTTGCTTGTTCATTCTTTCTTTCGCTCTTACTTTAGATCTTTCGTGCTTTCTGTAATTCTCTAATTTTTTTCTCATTTTCTTTCATTCCTTGTTTGTTCTTTTGATACGTTTGTTACGTTATTTATGCATTCGTTTATTTTAAATATTCCTGTAATGATTTTTCTTAACTGTTTATTCATCTTGAATATTTATTTTATTTATTTGAAAGTGTAGGTTCCTGGGTTGACTGTGTGTCTGGGTGGGGTGTGTCCCTGTTTCAGTAATGGTTGAAAAACCCCGGTCTAGACCACTAAACTTTATTGAGAGTGTGGTAGCGCAAGCTTAATAGTTACAGATCCTAGCTTGTTAGCGCACAAGTTGCTGGTTTGAACCCACTGAAGACCTTGAAGTTGCTGATGTTACGTCTATTACTATTTTGCCCTTGAGCATGGCGCTTAAGCCTGGATGTTTCTGTGGGACTGGCTCGTCAATTAGTGTACTGTAAATCATTTTGTATGAAACTGTCCGCTAAATGACACCACTAACTAATGAGAATCAGGTTCCCAGCACCTTAAGGCGAACGATAGCTACAATTACCTAAGGAAACTTAGCTTCATGGTTTATTAATGTCATAACCTGCACAGAGTTGATCTAATTGGCCTGTTGTCAGGCTAGGAGGGCTCAACACTAAGCAGACAGGTCGATCTGTGACCCAGGGCATGCTCCAGGATGTTTACCTCCGCTCCTGTGATTCCTGACGGAAGACGCCACCAGGTGATTGGAGCTTCTGCTGTGAGATCATGACTTGGCTGCTTAATTTGAGATTCTTGCTGATTGATGTTGCCGCTGCGAGCCATATTCACGTAAAGATTTGTTTGGATAATGCGGGTTTCAAAGAGCAGGCTTGATCCTGAGCGAGCATCCCCCTTATTCAAGACTTTTTATCTTTTTCTCGTCTACTGGATTTTTTGTGTTATTTTTTATTAACGTGTAATGGGATAAACTACTCAGAACACAAACTAAAATCCTGGTTTTAAAGGAAACACTCATTATGAAGTAGCCCAAACATGGTTCTTTAGCGATAAACGAAAACTTGAAAAATAAGGTTTTTCTTCCTTTGGCTCTCATTATTTTTTAAAACAGCATCTAAACAGCCAGAATCTCTTTTGAAACCCCAAATATAATGGTGTGTGGGGTTGATATTTTGCCTCGGATTTGCTGAAGATTCAGCTATTGAGTGGAAGGGATGCAAAAAAGCCAATGTTTGCTTCCCTCAAGTCACAAAAAGCAGTCACCATGGTGATAAAGGGAGAACTATAAAGGAAGGACAGGATAGTAAAAAAAGAGAACAAGAGATGGGCGGAGAGACTTTCAGTGGAAGCAGCTGTATCTTCTTGTATGTGATGATTAAGACCTCCATCTCCTGCGGTGGGGACAGTCAGGGCAGCAGCCCACAGGCCCAGTGCACCATGGGTAGGATAAGGAGGGCCGATCCTGTGGTGTAATGACCTGCTGCTGCTGACCATGTCGGTCTCCTGCTGGTGATGTTTGTGTCCTGACTGCAAGAATCAACAATTCCTGGTAAGAAAATAAAAATGAATATGTAGGGAACAGAGTGTAGAAGATATTGAGCATAAGAAAAACGGAATCATTTACTCAGAAAGATAGAAAGACTTCTAACGGATGTATGTAATGGCAGCTGAATGCACATAGATCACTTGGTTGTCTGATCAGAGTGAGTTGTCTGAAGTTGGACAGAATCAGAGTGCTGCAGGTCTCGATGAAAAACACAAAAAACATTTTGCTCTACCCTTCCTCTCTTTTTGAGTTCCTCTCATCCTCTCTGTGTGTATGTCCTGTTGGTTGCACATTCAAAGCGGCCAACACTTTCCCTTAGGTCTTAAATGTCTTTTGATCCCCCCTGTGTGGAAAACACCACAGAAGCTGCAGTTTGTACATGGGAAATACAAACACACACGACCTCATAAACCGCACTGCCCAACACACACTAGAGGTGGAAAGTTAACACTGAATTGTGAGGAGTATGAATGCATTATGTGTTGCCACCATCAAAGGTACCGCAATTACAGAAATTTGCTTGTATAGCTAAATGGCAGGTACAGGAATGTACAATGACTTGACTTAAAGGGGTCATATGATGCGATTTCAATTTTTCCTTTCTCTTTGGAGTGTTACAAGCTCTTGGTGCATAAAGAAGATCTGTAAAGTTGCAAAGACTAAAGTCTCAAATCCAAAGAGATACTCTTTATAAAAGTTCAGAGTCAGCCACACCTACCTAAAACGGCTCGTTCTAACACGCCCCCACATATCTACCTCACTATGTGGGAAGATTTGCATAATGCCACCCAAATGTTCACGCAAAGAAAGAAGGCGTAACTTTTAGTCTCACTGTAGTTTTGTTGACGCT